TTCACATTCACATGTGAGGTAGGTTGGGATGAAAGTCACCAAGTGAGGTGCCGTGATTTTAGATAGCTTAGGAATTGGATCTCTCTGGTATCAATCAAATACATTAGCCGCTGTATCTTAGTCTTTGCCCATCCTGTTTCCTTTTTTCAACTGCTTCCTACTCTAAAGCTAAGTATAAGCAAGCACATCTTGCCAACAGAGTTTAGGTGAACCAGTCTTTCCCTAGCACAGTGGCTCTCAGTGGGTTGGGACCCCTTTGGGGGTCAAACGACCCTTTCACAGGGGTCGCCTAAGACCATCGGAAAACACATATTTTCGATGGTGTTAGGAACTGAGACATCAATTTTATGGTTGGGGATCACCACAACATGAGAAACTATATTAAAGAGTCGCGGCATTGTGAAGGTTGAGAACCACTGCCCTAGCCCTTCAGATATCATGGGATCCTGTTTCTCTTCTTTGTATGGTATCTCCTACAGCTTCCTATACTTCAATAAAGAAGCCAGCAGGGATTTTAAACTTTTTCAGTTGAGAACAACAATGTAAAACATTGTGCTAAAGTTAAATTAAATTAAATTTAAATATCATCAGCAAATTATGCCACATGGAAAAAGAGAGGGACGTCATAGTCAAGACATGGCCCAAATGTTGGGATATGGCAAGGAGGAAAAGGGAGGAAGAAACTGAATGGATGGAGTCCTTCTGTAATTATTACATTGGACATTTAATGCCAGATCCCAAGCAAATCTGAAATGTATTCAAATTGACTTCATGGATCCTCAAATAAGGAATGCTGTGGATGTCTTTTCTTGATGCTTGGAGGGTGTGAGGACTTGGATTGAGGACAACAGGATTTGATGAATTCTGGTAAGATGGAGTGGCTCTGAGTAGGTGGCTGCTCTTTTATTTGGGGTTTTACCCTCTTTGGTCTTGGAGAGGGTAGCGTTGTCATAGAGAGACCCGGTGCATGATCTGAGGGTCTTCTTGGACTCCCAATTCCTGCTCAAGGAACAGATGGCAGCTGAGCTGTGGCTAGAAGAGCTTTTGCTCAGCTTCAGGTTGTACACTAGTTATACCCCTTCCTGTATTGAGAAGGTCTCCTTTCATTCACTCTAGGAACTGCCAAACTGTTCATGCTGCTGCATTCTGGACTAGTTGCAGCTTCCGGATACTCTTCAAGGGTAGCTCCATGTGGTGTCCATTGCAGTAGTCTGCCTGAGAGTTGACCAGGGCATGAGAGACTGAAAGGAAACAGAACCAAAATTATAGACATAAATCATATAAAATAGCAGCTGAGAACCCTTCACATCCCCTCAAAATGACTCAACCATTTCTAAAGGCCACATTTTCATAGCATGTTTCATCCCCAGCCCACTGCCCTTACAAGCCCACGTTCATCTTTTGTAGCTTCATAGTAACATTTTTCTTCTGCTCCTGAAACAAACCTTGTCATAGGGAAGATCTGCTGTATCTCATGGATGAACTTGGTGATGCTGCTGCCCAGGTCTTAACTGGCCTCTTGAGACTACCTGGGTACCATCCGCCCCTTAGTGGCCTTTGGACTGCAGGACAGGGAAGACCTCTAGTTT